AAAATTTAATATAAATTAAAAATATATATATAATAAATCGGGTACTAGGTCGACAGATACTTTGTTAAGCAACTTTTTGTGACCTAGGTCAAGCCCAGAAACCCAAAAAAATAGCAGGTAGGGTACCTACCCAAAAAATCATGTATTTTTATTATAAATACTCGATATTTTTTAATTGGGTCGACGGGTTAGTCAGTCGGTTGTGTATTTTTGAACACCTCTATGTGGCATGACATGTGATATCATTCGATTGGAGGATTAAATTTATTAAAAGTATGATTAAATTGAGATAATATGTAAATAACAAAGACTAAATGTGTGATTATATCAAAATATTTAACTGTTATTAACGACAGTTAACTTGGGGTGATCATATCTTAATTAAATAAAAACGAAAGTGATCATATCTTAATAAAAACGAAAGTGACTATATTTTATGTTTTTTTAAATCAGTGATCAAAAAGTGGACAAAACATAAACGTAACTAATATTTTTATGGGATAAAGATGAAAATTTTATTAATGTAAAAAATAAAAGAAAATAAGAAAAATCCTCATGAAAAATATGATATCTAACCATAAATCCTAATATCTATTTATAGTTAACTAATTACAAAATAAATTTTCATAACAAGAAATCTACTCAAACCATGCTTCTTATTTTCAATCTACATAAAATGGAATAGACTTCCAACTTTCAGTCAAATTATGTTTCTTATTTTCAATCTACATAAAATAAAATAGACTTCAAACATTCAGTCAAATTATGTTTCTTATTTTCCCCAATCAATTTAAGTTAGATCGAATTCTAATTAAACTCTAATAATCTCTACGTCGACATGAATTCTAAAAGTGTAAGGAATTCGAGACAAATTTCAAATTCACTGAAGCATCAAAAAATTAATTCTTCACATCGATAACAAATTCTCCACCTTGAGAATTATTCTTCACTTATTCCATGAAACCTCTTAAACATGCATTCTTCAACAATGATTGTCAATCAAATGAAAGCCTTGTCCAAACTTAGATTTAGTCTTCAAATCGGTAAGTTCATCATAAGTGTCAATTTTGCTCATAATTATATCGACATGGGTAATATCATACACAACACGATCTCAAATTTATTAATCCATATGACAAATTGGATTCTCTTTTCTTCTAAACTATTTACCCATTTTACTTTTACCGCCGATCTTTCAATTTTGTCAATCAGACCACTTAACTATTTAATTATATTCAATTAAGCCACATGCTGTTATTATTTAATAGAAGTGTTGGCATGACAGTTAAGTGGTTTGATTGAAAAAAATTGAAATATCGATGGTAAAAATAAAATGCCTAAATAGTTGAGTGGTCAATATTATAGTTTACCCTAAATAATTTACTTTAAACTTTAACTAATTTATATTTATACGTTGAACCCTTTAGAATTTTAATTTTTTATAAATTAAATTAATGTGGTCATCATTAGTAGTACTCATCATTAGTGGTACTCACCGGTACTCATCGAGAATTGTAGAATTTTCCTTACTTAAATAACAATATAAGCAACTTTGATTATTATATGAGTTCTACTTGATCTTTTCTTGATTTCATGACACCACCTTTGCAAAATGTTTATCAACATACATGCATCTTTTATAGCCACATTTCTCAGTTAGTACATCCATTTTTCCATCAACCTCTAGTTAAACTTTGATCGATCATTAAAACTTTAAACATAGCAATTCATTTCTCACACCCTAGTGCAATACACTTCTATCTTGAATATATGAATAATATAAATACTGAAAGAGTATTAAAAGTTCACAAACAAACGTGTTTGTCATATGATTTCATTGACTAATTCCACAGCTCAGTTACAAGTACCATGTCACACTATAAAGCCTTAATCTACTCACAAGATTTAACATCATACAATTAAATTAAAGCTAATCGGATGTGATCTAGACAGTATTTTTTTTTTGACAGTATATAAATACATGAAATAATTTTATGACAGTAGTTTTCCTTATTATCAAATAAATTTTGACCTTATTTATTGGATTACCATATCAAAATAAAAATAGTTCTACTCACAATTTTATGACAGTATTTTTCCTTATTATCGATTTAAATTTGATGTCTAAAATTAAATACCATATCTTTTTTTTTATAATTTCCAAGTTTCAAGTTTTTAATTAGCTGATTCTATTCCCATATGTAATGGGGTAAGGGGAGGTAGGGTAGTAGACTGCTCCAACACCAGGTTGAGAGCAGCTTCCGTGGAAGACTTCCGTTATGAATTGCCTTCAGTGAGACTCGATCCTACGACCACAAGATTAAAAGCCTTGCGTTCTACCAACTATAGACGGCAATTCAAAAAGATAATGGGGGCAAGTTTCAAGTAATATTTGAATTTTAATCGATTTAGGTTAACTCACATATGAGTCATCATTAGGTCATCGACTTCTAAAAGATAATATAATTGAAGGGGATAAAGCACCTTTAAAATCTCTAATTAATTAAACTCACTAATGAATCTAACAAGACAATCCATCAACTCATTTGTCCGGGTTCGTATTAATTTTCTTTTATTACTTGCAAACTATGATGATTCATTTGATGAAATAATAATTCTTTTTCTCTAAAACAATGATGTAGCTGCATACTTCCAATCAAATTGAAATAAACGATAATGCACTTGATTAAGCTTCAATGGCAATTCCTCAATGAGAAAAATCATTGCATGATCAAACAATTCACATATATATTTATTTATGTTATACTCAAGCATTTTATATTTTGTATTATATGAATTTTGTTTGTATTTATAGTTATAAATAAAATTATTATAGAAATTAAAATTCTAAAAATTGTTCTTGAAAACAAATAGAAATATCATTTGAATTTAATTCTGAAAGTTAGGAGATATCCTTCTATTGATTAATTTTGCAAGATACGTTAATATTAAATTGTTAAAAATAAATAAAATATAACCCAATATAAAAATAATATAAATGTATAAAGAGTTATTATTTATGCATTGAAGGTTAAAATTTTTCACAGGCGAGGTTTCAACACTTTAATTTCTAAACTCTAAACCTTAAAATTTAAACATAAATCTTTAATCCTTAAACATAACACACTAATCTCTAAATCTTAAATAAAACATAAAACATCATTAAAATCTAACCTATAGAAAAATTATTATCAATACACAAATGATTTCTCATGCAAATTTTCTATTTTTAACAAGTCGAGTTATTCGAGCTTCTGTACTAATTTTATTATAATTATTTATAGTATTATGGAAAGGATTTATTCCAATTTTTTGGCTTTCTCTAACCATATATATATATATATTATTCTTTTCACATTATAATGATATTTAATATATTAAATACAATCTAAAATTACAAAATATATTCATAATATTATATTTTAAGGAAAATATTTTGAGGGTAAAATATTTTTGAGAGTATAAAGGAGTCAAGAAATTGATGGGAAGAAAGAATTTGCAAACAATTGCAGTTAAAAGACCAAATTGAATAAAATACAAAGTTAAGGGACTAAATAAAAACAGAGAGTACATTTTTAGTAAGGAAGTAAGAATGCAAGTTACATAGCTATTCTAATGTGGTATATGAGCATGTGGTTCAAATTTGATAAAAAAGAGACTTAAAATAAAGGATGAATTGAAAAAAAAAATTATGAAAAATTGAGAGGCTAAATTGAAGAATATAAAATTTTTTTTTCTCAAAAAGAGGAATTGAAAGTACATATATATTCTAGGATGATTTAGGAGTATGTGGTTCAAATTTGGTAAAAATGGACTTAAAATGAAGGAAGAATTGAATGAATAATGGAATCATGGACTAAATCATAAAACTGTCAAAATACTTAATCAAATTTTCGATTTTTCAAGTAAATCAAAATTTCAACTCGAATCAAACTCGAAAACGGAATTGATAATTTGAGTTGACTCTAACAGCTCAAAATTGAAAAAAAATCGATTTTTCGAGTCTAGTTGAGTTTTGCTTACCCTATACTCGAATATTGCTTTCATATAGTGTACAAATGTCATATAAATGCTAGTCTTTCTGTTTATGATCACGTGGAACATAAACATTTATAAACCACAAAAGGATTTAGAGTATAATGGATAAAAATCTTCTAAGCAATAACCAAGAAAGAAATACAAAATGGTGTCCTTTGTACAAGCATGATAAGGATATATGAAGAGAAACACAGATGATACAAGGAAAGAAGAGCCATTAGGGCACTGCATATCTATCAGTCTTGGATGCTTTTGTTTAGCTCTAACTAATCCACCAATGCCTGCTTCAAAATGGGAATACCTTGGATGAAATTAATGAGTTATAACCGAGATTAAAGTTATCTACATTTAACAACAATTACAGCTTACTACTTTATGACTACAAGAACGAAGAGGTGTTCCACGGAAGATATTGTCTAGGAAGTAGAAGCAAACAACCAACAATATATGTCCAAATGGTAATGAATGAAGCGGGCCACAATCTAAAACAAACCAGTAGTTACCTCAAATTCAAACGGTTTCATTGTACAGAAACTATCAAGTTAATGTTGAAGCTGTAACAATATGCAAAATCTAATTTACTCTTTGCTTTTGGAATTTGTAAGCAACCATCGAAGCCTTCTCAGTTTTCCTCATTTCATGATGCACATATCTTCTAACAGCTCCCTTGAATTTATGGTTACAACAAATAACTAACAAAAGAGTAACCTTGACCCACCAGATTTGACACAATGGTTATCTTCTCTACTTTGCAGTCGGTGTAATAATAATAATATTCTAGAAGTGAATCCCCACATGGTAGAATTTCGAAGTTGCAATCTATTCCCATTCCCCACCTTTTCTGTTCGATGTCAGCTTATCATTACAACATTGACGACACTTTTCACCCTTGTCCTACGCTCTATTGTTCGCTCAAAAACTTCAAATTCAGAGCTTCAATGTCAGCATAAGAGAGGGTTTCCCAATCTTTGTTCTTTGTCCTTCATCTTTCACTAGTTGAAAAAAATAATGCATGTTGTGGCCTGGAAACTGCTTTTTCTCACCATGCCTATAGCTCTTATAATCATAAATGTTGTAACATCTGTCAGCTCATCTCAACAACATGTGGAATCCATTGGCTGCCCTACAAACAATGAAGAACACATTCTTAAGGTAGTACTGTACATTCATGCTCTTAACATAGAGACTTTAGATTAATGGAGTCTAATGCTCTTTGAAATCACCATGTCTGGTGCTTTATTCTTTATTTTTCTGGTAATTGTGATGATTACACAGGTGAGTCGAAAAGTGATGTTTGAGATTACAGTACATGGAATTATCTTTTGGACATCAATGGGGTTTCTGGTGCCTGTTGGGATACTTGCTATCAGAATGTCAACAAATAGAGAAGAATGTGGGAAAAGACAACAAGTTCTTTTCTATGTTCATGCAGTTTCACAGGCAAGCTTAATTTGGATAACCCTTTTATATTCATAAAAAAATTAAACATAAGATGTTTCACAATATTAGTACAATGATAGGGGTACCCTTAACATACATCATGTACTGAACAGTTAATTTATGTTTTCAGATACTTTCTGTACTTATGGTCACAGCAGGAGCACTCATGTCCATCAAAAACTTTAATAACTCATTCAATAATTATCACCAAAGACTAGGGGTAGCTTTATATGGTATCATATGGGTGCAAGCTTTGACCGCCGCTCTACGTTCATGCAGGTAGACCAATTGATTACCTACTCACTGGTAAACCTTGAAATATAATATGGTGTTTTATGTACAGGGGATCCAAGGCAAGAAGTGCATGGTTTTTTACTCATTGGTTATTAGGAACTATGGTGTCTATTTTGGGAGTAATCAATATTTACACTGGATTGGAAGCATTGCATGAAAAGACATCGGCAAGCACAAAGCTTTGGACCATAATTTTGACTGCACATATCTGTTTAATGGTTTTCATTTATCTGTTTCAAGACAAATGGTTGCAGTTGCAGTTACAAAAGCAAGAACCGGTTCTGCGCCTGGAACCTGTAAGACCCTACCCCTACAGAACAAGACAATATACACCACGAATCAACGGTTGAGAAATCAAATTCGTTAGTTCTTTAAGTCTTTCACCATTATTTTCCAATACATGAATTATCATCATTCATATGGGTGATATTGAACTATTAGGTATTAATGAATACAAGATTGCGGTGTTTTATCTGTTCTTTTCATTTGTGCTTCGACTTAGACCAATCACCACCATCGTTTGACTATGAACCATTAAAATCCCTCTGCCTTTGATACTTCAGCGTACACCTACTCTAAAATCTAAAATCCTCTCTATAATTCCATGCAACTTCACATCCCCTGTAAGCCTCACACCACTACCATCGGGTGTCACAGGTGATCATGGATCTTCCTCAGGGACATGACTTGCTAGATGGTTTGTCTTGGACTAGGTCGTCATGTAGCCTCGCTTCTCTTGCTCGAGATATCCTTGAAAAAGTGGATGGACGTCCTTGTCTTGGTTCCTTTCCTCACACCCCGATAGATTGGCACAATATACTATTTGAAATCATCCCATATGTAAATAGAGTCGACATAAGGGATAACAGTCGACATAAGGGATAACAAGGGCATTGAGACTAAAGCCAATGACAAAATAATAGTCATCCAAAGGAATTACTTCAAAGTTTTCCTGGTCTCTCCGTTCACTAATATGAAGTTGCATCATCCGTGTCTCTCCTACAATAAATAATTCTTCAGAGTTAATAGTCTTGATCCATCCAATCGAGCCTTCAATCTTGAGATCTATCTTCAGACATGACTAGATATGTTCCTGGATCGATTAGGGAACTTCTCAATTGTCCCTCAATATTGATGTTCACATTCGTCAGTCCTTTTTTCTTTGGATCATTCTTTGCTTTGGTAGCTTTGAGAATCATTGACCCGAGGTGTGTAACCACACTATTATCGAGTTTGTTCTTCCTATTAGGCGGTTTGAAACAAAGCAAAGATAGATGTTCCCAGAGCAAAGGCATTTTCGGTCACTGAGGGAACTTCTCAATTGTCCCTCAATCTTTGAATCATTGACCCGAGGTGTGTAACCACACTATTATCGAGTTTGTTCTCAAGACAATCTCTCATCATGTGAGGGCTATCACACAAGCAGCATTTCAATGGTTGTCGCTCCTTATTTTTTCTCTCCTACTAGTTGGGTTTGTTTTATCATTCCTATTTGAAGAGCTCCCTTGGCCATCACTCGATTGTGTTTCCTCATCTTTGTCATTAGAACCTTGCTTTGGGAACTAAAAGTTTTGACCTTACGCAATTTGTCCCTAACAAATTCGAGCTGACAGATCCATAAATATTTTTTAGGGTAGACACACATGCATTAATAACATAAAATTTTCATAGGAGGTAGGCACTAATAGAACTTCAGGGAAGGCACAACCAATAAAATAAAGAGAAAATAACCTCAGTGACCGAAAATGCCTTGTAATATACGATTTTGACCAACTTTTTTTGGATTTGCCAAAATGACCAAGTAAATCGCAATGCGATCGATAATTCACAACGCGATCTCCGGTATCGCAAATCAGTTTCCAGATTCGCAACGCGATAGTCGAAGTTCGCATTGCGATTCATTCAAATTCGTTGCGACAGGCGAAGTTCGCATTGCGATTCATTCCAATTCGTTGCGATAGGCGAAGTTCGCATTGCGATTCATTCCAATTCGTTGCGATAGTCCAAATATCACATTGCGATTCATTCCAATTCGTTGCGATAGTCCAAATATTTCATTTGTTTCTTAAGAATTTTCTCTAAAAAGATAGAATTCGCGCGGACGTGTCGAAGACATGTATTACCACGACCACGACCCGACCTGACCCGACCCGACCCGACCCGACCCGAGACGGGACGAGACGGCGGTGGCGGCGGCGCGCGAGAGTCACCCTTGTTCTCTATCACTCAACAAGGAAGTGGGAAAGCCAAGCCTTAAATACCATTCCCAATAGTGTTTCCAATACTATGTGGGATTGAGCATTACCAACACTTGTTTCCAATACCATTACCTTCATTGTTGTAAGAGTTTAATTTTGAAACTAAAAAAATATTTATTCGAATAAATAACTTACCCTTTGAGGACTTTGATCATAAATGAAGTAATTGCTAAAACTAACTCTGATTTGGGTTCTTATAGTGTTCAAATGACTTACTTGCAACACTACAACAAAACTGTACATTTGCGGCGTTTTTTTACCTATAGCGGCGTTTTTAAGCGCCGCAGAAAACACCTGCGGCGCTATGACAAACGTCGCGAAAAGTGCCGCTGAAAATAGCGCCGCTAAAGTTTGTGGCGTTTGGTAATAAAAAACGCCGCAATAGGTAACGATATATAGCGGCGTTTATTGGACAAACGCCGTAATAGGTGTTGATATTTAGCGGCGTTTGTCCACCAAACGCCGCAATAGGTGTTGATATTTAGTGGTGTTTTCCAACAAACGCTGCAATAGGTGTTGAGATTTAGCGACGTGTTTGACACAAACGCCACAATAGGTCTGGTATATAGTGGCGCTTTTTAGAACAAACGCCACAAAATGTCATATCTATAGCGGCGTTTTAAGATACAAACGCTGCTAATTACCTCTCTATAGCTAAGAGAAATTGATTTTGCAAATTAAAACTAATTTGTCAAATGTTGTTTTCTACTCTTTTATTACCCAAATTTAACCTGTAGCATTTTCCAATAAACTTGACATCCATAAACAACAAACTTAAAATCCATAACAAGAAAATTGAAATCCATAATAATAAATCAAAGTTTACATTAACGTAAAATATAATGTAGTTCAATATTATTAACTATAATAAACAATAATAACATCTAAGATATTTTGCTTATAATCTTACACATTCTTCATTACTTTTCGTCAGAATGAGACACTTAAATTCAAATAGATAAATCCAGTTTATATGGGAAAACAATTATGCAGAGCTAGTAATGTCCTGTCATTTCTTGCACAGATATATTGCTTCATGAGGTCTTACTCCAATTGGCATGCCACTTGAAAAGGCCCCATCCATGGCAATGCAAACCCGATCTCTAGTTTCATATCCAAATAAATCATCAATGCCAATGAAAATCCATTATATCTTACGTTAAAAAAGTTAACAACACATTTCTTTAATAACTAAAATTATAGATTCCTTAGCAGTACTCGTACCAAGTTCAAATAAGAAATTTGCAACTCACATTTTCAACAGTACAAAGATCAAACAAAGATTTAAATAGAGCCTGCAGCTGCAACATTCTACTACTGATCTGCAACATGGAAATAAATAAATCAGTACAGAAACCATTAACTCTAACTGCCAATATGCTGCCTTAATGGTTGTATAAGATAATGCCTTTTCCTGCTTCAGAACAAGATTGGGAAAGTAAAATAGAATATCTAATACTAATACAATGGGAGTAATTGTAAAACCTAATGTGAGTTGGTCAAAGGTAATGGCACCAAAAGACAGTAAAAAATGCAAAGCAAAAAATAATAATATTCAAGATAGAGCCACAGATGGTGTAGAAATGTAATACTGTGTAAAAAACTCTTTCTGTATCAGCTTAAATCGCTTGGAATAAGGTAAATCCTAGGTTTAAAATCTAGTAATAGAAAGATTAAAGAACAGGAGTATGAATTCCAAGAACAATAAAAAAGTTGATTGCTTTGGACACATAGTGTTGCCATCACCTATTATTTCATGTGCAGTGAAGTGTAAAAAACAACTAAAACAGGAGTATTTAATGATTTAAACATAACATATAATATCGCGAGGCCAAAACATTTGCGACTTTGGTATCTCGTTAATATCCTCAAGATAATCTCGGATAATATTCATTTTCTTCCATTTTGTTAGATCTAGAACACATAGTTTAAGAATCATGTCTTCAAACAAATATCAAAATGCACTCATAAGAAATGTTGCTTCATTCATATATCAGAGCAATACCTGAATAAATAAACCCATTTAATTGGAGAGTGAATCTGGAGCCAAATCTTTCGTGCCGCAGGCATGGAAAAGTTTGTAAAGACCTAATCCCACAAGTCCTGCTACATAGTGACAATATTCATCGTAGTCATCAACCGTTTCGACCTGCAGCAAAACGCAAGTTCCCGGGATCGTATATAAGATAATATATATACATATTTTTGGTCAAGTATACAAAATGATATGAAGACATTTAAGAGTTGTACTCTTGCATGCATATTGAACAGATTAAAGGGCTAAGCTTGAGAGATCGAGTTCTTATATATGGTAAAAGACAATCTAGAAGAGATCAACCTGATTTTAATAATGCAAGAATGACAAACCTCCTTGCAAATGAATTTTGCCATCTCTGCACCCATTCTTTTCGTAATGTCCTCGATAGCCTCCTGATAACTGCATAATCAATTGAGAATTATCGACTTTTTTCTCCTTCGGGATCAAAATCCACAATCAAAAACAACTTGAACCACTTATCTAAGATAGCCTAGTTAGGAGATAAAGACATAAACTAAATAAACACATACAAATCAACACCACATTTAAGTCTTCATGAACAAGGAAGATCGAGAAAAAAATTAAATAACCGACCCTTTTTTGAGTTCGAGAAAAGCAGTAGATACATGATGAAACTTGTCTATAAGAACTTTGTAGTTCTTTGTACCACCTGAAAAAATAGATAAAGCTATATAAGAAAACAAACCGGGATTCATTAACCGATAACGTTTTCGGTAATAAAATTAGCCCAATCCTGGTGCCATATTGCTCTACTCCACAGAAAATCGAGAATCCTCCTTTGAAAGAGAAAAAACTTCTAGATGCTCACATGAAAAGTGCCAGTTGCGATCGTATATATGACGATAGAAGTCTTTGAGGATAGGAACTTTGACATCAGTTGCTACACTAGTGTCATCCTCTGCACGAAAAGAAAACCTCGGCTTCTTATCGAACAACTCGAAAAGGAAACGCAGAATATTACTATCATTCATAGATTATATAGGCCAAATATGCAGAAATTGTTCCTAGTAATTTAGAATCGGTGAAAGATTATGCACGATGA